ACCGATGATGAGAACGGCGAAGATAACGATTATGAGCTCATCACTTTGATTTGATTTAATTATGAGCTCAACACAATGATTTTATTCAACCATACTTTAAATGCAAGAAGCAGTAACGAAAACGCTAGCATAGTTTGGAAAAACGGGAAAAATAAATTCAAAGCAAACCTTTTTACAAGCTGCCTTTTTCCACTTTCGTTCCTGGGCAAAGTCAATGCTCATCCAAAGCATTTCTTCGAGAAGGTAGTCCCAGTGCGTTTTGCTGCGGGGAGGCTCAGCGCACTTCGGAAGTTTCCGCGCTGACCATAGCCCATTTCGCCTGAGTTCAGCAACTCGCCTGAGCACCAGTGCTTCCTGTTGTGAGAAAAATAGATTGTACAGACCACATATGAAAAAACGAATAATAACAATTAAATACCTGTTTTGCTGCCAGCTCTATACTGCCTTCTTGAAGCAAAGACGATGAAGTACGTACTTGAGCATCGGGGGATAGATGTACATGGACTTCATCGTTCTAATAGTGAAAAAGAAATATATCAACGTTCTAAAAGCAAGAATACAATACAGAAGTAACAAAAAACAACGATTCGTTGTGTGATACTAAAGTTGAAATAGTCAAATAAATCTACTAACAAACTATGCACCAGAATCGCATTTTACGATGTCAGCTAGCTCTCATATGTCTAGGGAATCATTTTAATACGCTCTCGTGCTGTGACAGATGCATCGTTAAACATTTCACAAGCTAAGAAAATATCTTGCCAATGACGTTCAAGGAACGCGTGCTTGTAATTTCGTCAGCTGGAGAAATTAAAATGTTAAGTTTTTATTTCGTCCAAAATTAGGCTTCATGGTGAACAGACGCCCCTGATTCTTGAACTTTCTTGATCTCAATTTTAATCTACGACATTTAGGTACGAACACGCGTTTTACAAAAGTACTCATGGAGTATCGGATTTTGAAACAGACATCACTGATGTGAACAAGGCACTGGTTCATTTAAAAAGATCATGCGAAATGCAATCATGCACTTAATCATGCACATCAAGCAAATAATGGAACACTCGGAACTGTGGACTGATTGAACGACCCATTGGGAATCCAAGTTCAAGAGATAGTACAATACGTCTGGAACTCAAGATCTGTACGACTAACCTCAGACGAAGGAAGTCACACTTGAATTACTAACTTAATAAATGTCAGTATGGAAAACAAAAACATCATGGGCATTCGCAAGAAGTTATGGGAGTATATGTTAGTTAAGGATTTCCCATAGTAACTCAGGTTACTCAACTATATTGTAAAATTTGCTACATTTGCTACATGCTACTCGAATATAACCTAAAGATGTACACGCGGCGTTGCACAAAAAAATCATCCAACAAATATGCGTTAATGAATTGGCATTTTAACGGTTCGAGACTTAACGAAGCAATCGGTTAGAAGTCTTTACACCAGAACTGCCGACACTTCAGCAAAAGCACATTAGCAGTTATCAGGGCAAACAAGCAAGAGTTTACTACACACGGAGAACCAATCAAATACAACTGTATAGTGTTAAGCAACTGGTGGAGAAAATGATGGGTTTATGTGCGAAAAATTCTTTATTCCTTAAAACGGCATTTCGTATTCTTTATCTGGTTATTTCACGGAAATTTCCCCAAATAAATTTACTATTTAAATATTTCGCAATGAATTTCGCAAAATCTATTTTAAAAAATTGAATTTAACTAGCGTGAAAAGTTGCTTAAATCTACCTTTGAGAGCATATAAAGTTTAAAGCTAATGCGTCAAAAACAGAGTTGCTACGTGAGACTCATCTTGATAAAAAGCAGACTTGTGATGGCAAAGAATCTTCTACCCTCCTCTACCCCAAGGATCACACACATCTGAAAAACCGTACTTTCATGGACTGCAAGCTGTTCGTGCTAAACGATTCGTAGATATTGATCCAGTGTCATCGAAAATGTCAGGCAGGTTGGAAATATCTCTGATGGCAGAAAATCCCTCCACAAATCATCAGAGTGAAAAACTATGCACCGACATAAAGAATTTAAGTGATAATTTTAAGATTTCGGTAGAATTACCCAATTTTTACCTAGAGCAGAAGAAAAGAGAACAATCCCGTAAAAACTCACAGTGTTTGGCGCTTAACGATGGCAACGCAAAACGCTAAAAAAATTGACTAAAACGACGTTCCTTGATGCTATGGATTTGAGCGGAAAGAGAACATATCAAAGATTATAAGAACGACGTCTCACTGCAAGACAACGGTCTACTTCAGGGTACGAAACAATGATTTAGACGTACAAATGTTTAGACACAGTAAAAGAACCAAATAACCATGCTATGTTTTAGAGCTGCAAAAACCCTACAGTCTATAGGAAGGTGCGGAAATGCCTTGATTAAAAGCCAGAGAACACTTCTGGCTAAGCCCTGAACGACAGCGAGGTAGGAGGAAACAAGAAATGAGAGAATGTCAGAAAATATTGTTTAAAAAATAACGCAGGAAAAATAAAATAGTGAATTTAAATTTAAAAAAATAGAAGAGATTTATAAACCACTGCTTTGCTTCGTACCAAAAGAACCACCGGGTAAAGGTCACTGTTTCCGCCGAAAGGGCCCTCATTTTTTGGAGAGACCGTTGAGGACAGGCGAACAGCAAGCCGGGCAGACGCATCAGC